GTGATAAGAATTAATGAAAAGGTTACACGTTGTTTCGTGCACTCAAAGATTTCTCTTTAGATATAATAATCAATTAAAATATTTGGATTAAGAGAACAAAACAAAACTTATCGTTTCGACAGTATTATTTATAATAATCTGAATATATAAATCGTAATAGAAAAGTATTTATATTTTTTGGGATAGAATTGTACTCCTTCCGGAAGGAATTATGCTACTTTCGAGTTGAGTATCTCGAAACGAAAGTATAGTGCACGTTCGAAGGACACACGTCATGTTACTTATAGTAATCCCTTTCTAAGGCTTCTTTCTTCTTATTCTTATTCATATTCATGTTCATAGTTTTATTTTTTATTGTATTAGATCCTTTCTAATCAAGTGTTCCACAATTTGAAACAGGTAGATACTCGACCTAGTACTAGAAGGACGTGTTCCCATTTTATCGTGACTTTTATCAAAGTATTATTTTATTAGATCAAAAGAATAATAGAACTAATTATTTTCTATTAAATACAACTATTTCAACATTAATTATTTATTTGTTCTTTATCTGCAATAAAGTATTTAATTGCAACGATTAATTGTTACGATAAAATGTGAAGTTTATTTAATTTCGATGGAATATAAAAAGTGCGTTGGTCGATAAATCAGAATGTTAGATTTTCTAACATTTATTATAAATGAATATTAATAATTAGAAATGTTTACATTTAATCTGTTCTACAGTTTTGATCAATACCAAATTTTCTATTAGACATAAATATGATTAAATTTGTTATTTAATAAAACAAAACGTCAAATAAAACAGAGTAAGATATCGAAAGAATTTCATGAATTAAAAGTGCACTTTTATCAATATTAATGGTGAACATTAAATGATCTGCCATAAGATGATAAGATAATATGATTTCTCGTCATGAAAGAAATAAAAAAAGAAAAGAAAATAAAATAAGAAAAAGGATGAATCGTTTCCGAGCGTATCAGCTTAGAAATTTTCCTTCTCGCGATCTTCGTCCGATATTCTCGAAGCGGAACGTTCGAGTCAGGTGCAACTGCGCTGTGCAACTGCACGCTGTGCAACTGCAAATCGCACGTGCTCCGAAATGAGAGATTGGTGGACAACAGTGTGTGCGTGTGTTTTCTGTTCATCGTGAGAGAATATAACGTGTGTACAAGAAGAAGATACGACACGACGAAATATCGTGCTGTTCCAGAGCAGTGATTCCGGTCAGCAGGAATAGCGGTACTCGTTCGGCCGTGTGTGTCTTCGTCTCGAATTATCTCTTTGCCTTCCCGCGGTGAACACACTTAAAAGCGTATTGCGCATGCGCTTTCTGTCGCGAAAGCGGAAGAACTTATAAACTATTATCACGAATTGCTAAAACTATAATCTCTCATTATTCTTCTTTTTGTTTTATTTTAACCCATTGACTGCCAAACATATTTAGAGCATCTTGTCCTGTGGGTGTCAAGGTTTTTGTTTTAAAGAATACATGTAAAATTTTGACATTTATAATATTACTGTAATTTATTTTTAACTCAAATGAGCCATTTGTAATTAATTTAATATTGCAATACACACACTACGCGATATCTCGATACAATTCTTATCCTTGTTATAATCCTGTGAGCACATTGTTAAAGATGCATTGATTGCAATGATTTTCTCGCGAACTTATCGAACAGACCGACTCTTCTTTCCTAAAGGATTCTGAATCGTCTCGAACTTACGAATGCGATCGGTGAAAGAACATTGCATGCAAACACCAGCACAGTGTTGTTTGGAACATCGTCGAGCTAGGAGGTACGGTTTAGTGTAGTATAGTATTTTCTCGTTGCAGCTGGTATCATCTAGAGAGTTAGTTACTCGTTCAGTATAGTCATGTGCTGTTGCTGCTGTTATACTGTTGCTGTTGCTGTTGCTATTGCTGTTGCTGCTGCTTCTGCTGCTGCAGCACCGAGTAACGGCTAATTGGCCACCTTTCCTCTCTCTTTCTCTTTCTTCGTGTGCGAGAACGAGATAGAAAGAGAAAGAGAAAGAGAAAAAGAAAGAGAAAAAGAAAAAGAAAAAGAAGAGAGAATAATCCCTCTCTCCTTTCCATTCTACCATCTCTCTCTCTCTCCCTCTCTGTCTCTATCTCTCTCTTTCTCTTTCTTTCTTTCTTCACGACGCCTTCTCCCTCAGTAAGCCGGTCGACTCGTGCCAGTTTTGTTCGTCCTGTCGCGCGGGTTAAACCGAGTGCAGAATCGAAGTTGTGGACTTGAAGCCGAGTTAAGTCGGCGCCTATATAAACCTTGCTACGGATCCTCAATAAACCCCACGTTTTTCACATTACAAATCTAAATTATGGATCCTCCGTGTTATCCTTCTCTTCTTCATCCACCTCTTCGTCTTTCTCATCCTCATCCTCATCACGTCCTTGTTCTTCCTTTTCTTCGTGAATTTTAGAATTAGCTAAGATATTTTTCTAGTATTTTTGTTATTATTGTTGTTCATCTTCACCTACGTTCTACCCGTAAGTTATCATTTTTATCTTATATTATCGTTATATTTTAATTTGTTGTTATTTCTTATTAATAAATTCGTTTTATCGTTTGTATTTTGTTTAACTTTTTCATACAAATTTCGTATCACGAATCGATCTATGATCTTTACGACAATCTATCGAGCTATCGACCTCGAATAGTCGACGCGTGACCGCAACTTTTTTATCGATCATCTTTAAATCATACACGAGGAGGATGCATTTCAAGTCAAGGTTAACATCGTTGCGAACACGCATTGCTGCTTAAACAAACTATAAGGTGACTTTTTTTTTTGCAAATGAGAAGCAAAACAGACTTCATCATCTTGTTTTTCTTTTTATTTTTATTTTTATTTATCTTCTTCTTCTTCTTCTTCTTCCTCTTCTTCTTTTTCTTCTGAGAGTTAGTATGAATATTACTTTCTTTCTATGGAACACTTTCCAATATATTTACGATGCTGAGATGATGGATTTCTCACGAAAGTCGTTAAGTCAAACATATTTTTGTTTTGTTTTGTTATTTTTTTTCTTTTTTTTTTTCTGAAAAAGAAACTTTCTGCATTGACCCTAAACCAATTTAGGATCGGAAATGTTTAGATTTATTTCTATACAAGTTTTAATGGATTCTACGAATACGAATTGAAAGTTTACTTTAATACTTTTGATGAAAAACCAACAAAGTTATCTTCGGAAAAACCATTTCGAAAGAACAGGAAGATGTTGTGCCATGAAAACTGCGAGACGATTTATTTCGATTTACGATTTCCTTAGAGAACGAACTCGTGAACTTACAGTGTTTTTTTTCGAGTTTAAAAAAATTAATTGAGACGAAGGATAATAACAATTTTATAAAAAAAAAATACTAATTAACTAGTTAAGCGTGTTTGACGACTATATCCGTCATGGAGATGTGACATGTGTTATGACGTCTATATTTGTCATACGTAAAAGTTCGTTTTAATTTGATGTTTAAATGGTTATTTTGGCGAAAACTAAATAATATTCGTAAATTTTAATATGTTTTTTAAATGCTTAGAGATAAAAAAAAATCTCAAGAATAAATTTTTAACTTCTATAAATATTCGATTATTTTTTCTCTAATTTTTCCGTTTATTATGTATAAATATATGTTCATATTAAGAAACTGTGTGTACATTACTAACAAAATTGTTCATTTTCAAAAATAAAGTCGTCTTTTTGATCCAATATTTTAACAGCGCCACTTACTCTGTGTTTGACGACTATATCCGTCATCGCTTGATTATCGCGACACACACCGGAGCGAACTCTGCTCACAGATCGTCACACTTAACTGGTTAATTGGAAAATTACAAACACCCACGAGACTTTCCAAAACTACAAAAAAAAAAAACTAGAGACTAAACCTAATCGATTTTAATTGTCACTTTGTAACAAGGAAAAAAACTCCTCGTGTGCCGATAATTTAACGAGCCAACTATTACTAATTCACTGTTATACGAATAATTTCAATTCTAGCGATCTAATTGGTCGAAGATAATCCCAAGTTTTGTGCATTTAACTTTCCTCGAGAGAGAAAAAATTTCTTTCTCATATGGTCATCCGAGTATGTGAATATCCTCTCTAATACGTGCGTGCGTCTATATGTGTCTGTGTGTGTATATACTTACCTTCATTTATATGTATCTGTTAGCCTCGAGTACGTAACAACGTTCTAAACCGCTTTGCACCACGTACTGACCTTCGGTCACGGAACGGAAATAATCGTAGATACATTTTTCTCATCTCATACCTTTCCTAAGATAAGATAAGATTACTCGTCAAACATTACCTTCTCTTTCTACGAAACTCTTTCAAATTATCTCACCTATATTATTGACACCACAAAAAATCCCCACATACTTTGTTTTAAATGTTATGTTAATTAGATTGTTTAAAGGTGAACAAAAATAGCTAAGAATCATCTGATAATCACATTATCAATACCTGTATGGAAAGATATTAACAATATTAATGAATAAATGTTTAAATTTATTTCTGTATAGGTTTTAATAAAATCTACGAATATGAATTGCAAATTTATTTGAAACTTTTGATGAAACATCAACAAAACTATCTTTAGAAAAACATATAATACAAATTATTATATTTTATTTATTGAAAGTGATATGTTAATGATTTCATTGTTAAATAGAACCACTAAAACATAAATTTTTATTCCCAAATAAAAAAAAGGAAAAAGAATATACATATAAATGAATTTTACTAATACAAATTAAAATTTTATTTGAAACTTTTGATAAAAAAAACCAACAAAGTTATCTTTTCAGAAAAATAATAATACAAATTGTTATATTTTATTTATTGAAAATAATATACTAATGATTTCATCGTTAAATGCGACTACATAAAAATAAATTTTTACACCATAAAAAGAGGGAAAAAAACTACACATATAGGAATGAGTTTCATACAATTATTTGAATTAAATTTCAGGTCTCCACGCGTAGGAGGACCCCTCTCGCAATCGTTAGCAATGATTCCACCGACTATGCATGGTCACGAGTTCAACCAACCCTTGTCGAGGGTTGTTATGGTCCGTAAAACGGATCAGAGAACTTTCAGTAAGGGTAGACGTGGTGGTGAACCTCTCTTGGAAACCGTAACCAGGGAAACCGTCGAATTGTTCAACGGTGGCAGAGCTGAAAGAAAATATACTTCTGAAACTAGAGACATCGTAACGCCAAAGTCAAACAGGTTGGTAACAAGTACAAAAAAATATTCATTTCAATTTATTTTTCTTAGAAATAAATTATATTATTGCGAAAGAAAAAGAATTATACAAATAGATATAGGATGGTACGATGAAGATTCACGTAGGAAATAAAAAAACAACAACAGGAAAAAAAATGTTATATTATATAAGAAAAGGAATAGTCGGTAAATTATCATAAATCAAAAAACCGGAACGATGTGTCGTGTTATATTTTCTAGAAAAAAATAATTCCCTTAGAAAAATAGAAAATAGTAAAAAATAATAAACAACGTTAGATGATGAGTTAGCATGTATTTATAATAATATATGTAATAATCGTTATCATAAAACCTACTATACTATATATATATATATATATATATTGCTCGATAATAATCGCATTGTGAGAAACGTCGGTGGTAACACACATGCACGAAATTTCATTTTAGAAGTTACTTCTATGTGTATATATCCTAGTACCGGAAACTCGTTACATGCGTTTCAGTAGGCAAAGATTTATACGTCGTAAAGTTGTAGTCGGTAATTTTACGTTATATCCTTTTTCCCCCCTTTAGAATTGTGTGTATCTATGTGTGTGTGTATAGAGATATATCACGATGAGGATAGAGATGAGAGATAGAGAGGATGGTGAGATTTGAGAAAGAAAATGTGAGAGAAAGAGAAAAAGAAGAAGAGAGAGAAACTATGACTCGATTTGCGCATGTGTGCGTTTCGTTGTCAATTGCAGGACGTATCTTTCATTACACAGTTGAAATATACATATCCTCTTACTGTTAGTATGTCGTATTTTGAATAAAATTTATTACAAAATTGTCTCACTCTCTCTTTTTCTTTCTCTTCTTCATACAACTCTTATGTATTCTAGACAACATAGTGTGTAACTTATTTTATTTTACTTTATTTTTGTTCAAAATGATGATAGTTTGTGTACATCGTAAATCTTCCCTTACTTCCTTGCCCTATAGTATGCCCTCGCTCAGCGTCAGTGGAACGAAAAAGAAGGTGGTCGGTTTTGTCGACCAGCTGTCGCCCGAAAGGTACACACTCAAACACACCTCTATGCGATGGTGCAGAATTGCAGTCAAGTCAAATTCCAATTTCCAGTGAAGCGAGAAAGTATATGAATGATTTATAGCACTAGATAATGAATCTTACACCTACCCTCAACCCCTCACCTCCTTCCCCTCAACTGTTTGCATCCTAGCAAGGAAAACGCTTCTCGCTGAAATCACTCAAATCGGTAATGGTGATTTATTTTAATTATGTTCATTAATTTAATTATGTAGTATAAGCGTTATATTTATTTTATTTTATTTTTAGTTTTTTTTGTGCAACACTTAAAGTGACAGCTGAAAATTTCTCTTTTAAAACATATTATAATATTTTCTATTGTACGAATCGTTTAAACTAAATGCAATCATTTTCAAATTTATTGATCATTAATATTATCACTCTTTTCTAAGTATCATAATATATGCTTTCGTAATATTTAAATAACAAGTAAGAGAACACTTTCCCTTTTCAATGTATCATTACTTCGATTTGTTTTATTTCTCAAATATTTACTTATTGACATAAGAGACTTCTCATGAATCGAACGTAACTCTCCTACGTAATGTACAGTTCTTGTTTATGTCGTTTTAACGAAAGGAAATTTTTCAATGTAATAAAATGCAGCTTCGTTTTGTTCCCACGACCGTCTGAAGACCGTGTGAGACAACGTTCGTTTGTTTACAAGACCACCGTATTCAAACTGGTTCGTTTATTTATACATACGTCTCTCAAAGATCGTTCTATGTAAACGAGTATTAAAAAGATAGAAGATCGAATTAACTTCTATAATAAAAAAAAAAAAAAAAGAAAGAAAAAACATTTAATCGTTGCACGTGTGTTTAGAAAATTCTAACACGAGAATTTAAACTAATTGATTTGAAAAAAAAAAATAATTAAGATAATTATTGTCCCGCGTGCATTATTTAAAAAAATATAGAACTTTCGAAATAATTTGTACATTTAATTAAATTTTTATAAGGAATATTAATAAAATAATAAAACATTGTCTATGGTTTCGATCGGGGTGGGTCGATGAACTAGCGCGAAAGGAAGGAGAGGGAAAAGGGAAAAGGGAAAAAGGGGGGAAGGTCTTCGGATACGACCATGACCGTGGTCATGACGTGGTTAGAGTGCTACGAAGAATGAAGGAAGAAAGGAAGAAAGGAAGGAAGGAGGAAGTAAAAGCGTTGATCGTAAAACCGTGTGTTGAACAACACGGACTTTAGGAGAGTTTAGCGAGACTTCTCGTAATTCTCGACGGAACGACGTGTCTCCACCTCCTTCACCTCCTTCACCTTCCCTCAATCCCTTCCTCTTGCTAGTTCTTGTCGTACATTGAAATTTTCAGCTTTCTCTTTGCTTCTTTGAAACATAAAAAAAACATTACGAACATTATCTACGGATTGAATTACCGATCATATTTTATTATTTATTGGTGACGGTAAAAGATCAAAGATGATGTTTTTATTTTTTTTTTATTTTACGTATTTTACGTAACAAACATTTATATGTATAAATATATATATATATTTGTTATAAAATTATGGAATGATTTTTAACCCTTTGCATAATCTAAATAAAACAGGCATTTAATTTAAATCTGTTTCTACAATTGCATATATTTAAATATATTATTATAATATATTTTTATAATTATATTATATTATACAATATTATTTTGATATTTACAATATTACATTTATTATATTATATTAAATATACAATATTTTTGAGTTAAATTAAATTACAAATAAAACATATAAAAATATTGCAAACTATAAAGAAAAAATATAATTGTTAATGCAAAGGGGTTTTTAAAAGATAAAATTCTTGTTTTTTTTTTTTTTTTTTAAATAGAATATATTCATATATTATGTTTGAACATATATGTATATATATATACATATATATGTGTGTGTATTTAGATAGATTAAACGTGTAGGATGGAAGATCGAGTTGTAAATAGAAGCACAGTGTTCAGCTTGGGCGATTAGCTGTTAGCCGGAAAATAGATTAGAAGTACTATTAGATAGTGCATTAGATATACTACTCGTCATGAATTGCTTCGACCCATTCCGCATGTCGTAATGACTACTTGTACGATTCACAAGATCAAGATCGGACCGACCTCGTATACTTTCTTCTTCCATCATTTGCTTGTTTCTTTTTCTTATTATTATTCCTCTTTATCTTCTTCTTCTTCTTCTTCTTCTTCTTCTATGCTTCCATTTCATACGTTCTAATGCTTACTATATTTCTCGCTCTCATTACCTTTCATTCATACATTTTTCGATCTTCTTAGAAGAATTTCTCTTCCTCATATTTAGGACGATCGTAAAATGATGATGATGATGATGATGCAAGTAGGTATGCAGTATCTTTTAGCTTAAGCACTGATTTTTCTTAAATATATAAATAAACTCGTTTATAAAGTATTATTATTATTATTATTATTATTATTATTATTATGTTGTATTTTATATATATTATTTTGTATGGTTGTTAAATGTATACATATATTGAATTGGCAACTAAGTTCCTGCAATTTTAAAGAATTTTTTAATAATTTATTTTATAATATAATTTAACTTTTATTTATTATTTTTATTATATAATATTATTAATATATAATATATAATATTAATAAATATTATTATATATAATTATATATAAATAAATTAATAAATTTAATTTATTTATTATTTCTCCAACAAAAATTGCTAACCAAATATATGTATATATAAATCTAAAAAATTGTTATGAAAGATTTGTGTTTAAAAAAAATCGTACCAATGTGTTATAAATTTTCACGCTTTATTGAATTACAAATTCAAAAAGCTTCTCTCGCACATTACTTACAACTCTGCTTTGCCTAGAAAAATGAAAGAAAAAAAAATCAAATTATATATGTACTGTCTAATTATTTAAACAGTAGTACTACTGTATAAAAATTGAAAGAGACTCTTTGTCAGAGTTTCTTTCGTCTGCCATGTCATTATCGATTTATTTTTCAGGTCGAGGACAGAATCGGTTAGATCTAAATCACCTTTGACTGCGTCACCAGCATCTCCAGGACCACTTTCAAATTCATTACACGGCAGTTTTCACGGTAGTTTAGGAAGCGATGGCATGTCTTGCAGCAGTGCAAGGTCTTCCTCTGCTTCACCTGATTCTGCTAGATATTCCTCTTCACAGGTACAATATTAATCGTCACTTTGATCAAAATTAGATTCCAAATCGTTCGATAACGACCTTTTTTTAACGTGAAATGATATGACCATTTTTAGGACAATTAATTTCCAATTGTAAATGTTACTATGGTCAACGATAAGAAAATATTAAATTTGATTTAGGCAAATTTCAAAATAAACAATTAAATATAATATAATTTGAAAGCAAAATATATAAATCGTTTTATAAGAACCTTTTTCAGATAAAATTATATTCCAATCATTTTATTTATTTTGAATTTGAACGAGATTTCAAACATCACTTTAAACATGACTTCAAACATCTTTTCATTCAAACGTGGGTATTAAAACATTGATAAATATGACAAGTAGAAAATTTCTGACAGGATTAAAAAATGATTTTTAGATCTTTTTACCTTTCATCAAGTTGGATTATTACTATACGATATCGAATTGATCTGCACAAATGATTAATCTCAAATCACATTTTTCCGGTCAACTACTCTCTTACTTAGGTGAACGGGAGAGTAGTAAACGTTTATAATCATCTCGATTACAGGACGTTTCAATCATCCTATTCGTTGAGCTACTTTTATGTGAATACCTTAGCTTACACTCACATTAATACAAATCCGTGTCGTTGTAAAATCATATTTGTTTATGAAGATCATTTTATTTTTCATACAACTGTATCTAATTTTAAATAGTTTGTATTTAATTTCTTTTCTATTCGTTGTAATAATTTTGTTTGAGATTAATGCAAAATTTAAACTTTATTATATTATAAAATTAAATTAATAATTTGTACGATTATTTTTTTGTTAATTTCAAGTAATTTCAATCATCTCGTTTTTATTTGCAAGTAGTGTGACGTGATATCGTTTAGAAAAATATCGATAGATATATCGATTAAGAAAAGAAAATCATTATCGTTTGTTATCGATCAAACGTTTAAAACGTTAATAACTTCTTTACAATTTTATATCGTATAAAAGTAGTACGAGTCATATAAAAGACATTCTTGATTTCTTTCCGACGTGCTGTCTGTCTGCGATCTGAAAACGTGACGCATCTCGAAACATTTCATTCTATAAGTGTGAGAAATCTAGTTTGAAACACGTGTGTGGAAAATCTGAATAGAATATCAACAAGAAAAGAATACATTAATTTCTCAAAGGCGTGACCAATCAATTAAAAAAAAAAATATATTTCTTATTCGTTAGAATGATGGGAAATCGTTGCAACCTGTTAGCATTATTTTGTTCCCTCTTACTTTACTTAAAAAAAAAAAAAAATAAGTTATTTAATTATAAATAATTCTAATTATTGCCAATGTGTAATTTCTAAAAATATCAGAACCAATTGCATACACACACACACACACACCCATATAATTAAAATTTTATTCTGAAATAATATGATAATAATAATTAATCATCATATTCCACAAATAAAAAAAGAAATCGATCATTAGATTATTCAGTAATGTTCTCTATCTATTTTATAGATAACAAAGACTGACACGCGTAAACCATCTGTGCGTAGATCAGGACCACCAAAGGAATTCATCAATATGTGCTTGGAGACACACAATTATTATCGGATTCGACATGGTGTACCACCTTTGCGACTTAGCAAACAGGTGATTATCGATTAATAATCATCCCAATAATACAAAAACAAAATCTATTAAGATAATTAACAATTATTTATATTAACAGTTATGCAAGACCAGCCAAGATTGGGCAAATATTTTAGCAGCTAGGGGTAGATTAGAACATAGGGCTAACATAGATTATGGTGAAAATCTTTATTGTATGTGGAGTTCCAATCCAAAGACAGTTGTTGGTGGTGATGAGCCTGTAAACGAATGGTACGTTTTTATTACAAACAAACCCTAACGAAGGGATTCAAATATTAATATTATTTAGGTATGCTGAGGAAGCTTTACATCAGTATGGGAAGGAACCCACTACTTTAAAAACCGGTCATTTTACTCAAGTAGTATGGAGAGACAGTACTGAGTTAGGTGTTGGCATGGCAAGGAATAGAAACGGGGAAGTTTACGTTGTATGCAATTACAATCCAGCTGGTAACTTCTTAGGTAGCTTTACGGATAATGTTCTTACACCTGGTGGCACTAGTCCAAGCAAAAGGATATCCTTTTCAAAAAGTCAATATACATTAGACGAACAGGCCTGGCAACAAGAGGCCTTGTTAGTTCACAACGAATACAGAAGGAGGCATCGTGTACCTGACTTGAGGTTAAGTCCTGAATTAACAGCAGCTGCTAAGGTACCGTTGTTTACGTTCTTTGCGTTTTTGTTGTATAATTCACAAGACATTTCATTTCATTGATATATGAGGAATTTTGTTGTTGTTCTTATTTGGATTGATCTAGGCATGGGCCAATACGCTGTTGAATACAAATAAACTGATACCGCAATCTTCCTCACCTTATGGAGAAAATATTTACTCAATGCAATGTTCCGATCCAAAATTGGTAGTATCAGCACGTGAAGTTGTATCTAAATGGTATTCCGAGAAAAAGGAACATAAGTTTGGTACGGAACCGAAGGTTCTTAATACCTGTACGTATGCCATAAATTATACAATAATAATGTAAGTAATATAAATGATTGTTTTTGTAAATTGAAAAATATTTCTATTTTTCTTTAGGTCATTTCACACAAATCGTATGGAAAAACACGACTGAAATGGGTATAGCTATGGCAAAAAGGGATGGAACGTGCGTTGTTGTTGCGTGTTATCACCCAAGGGGTAATATCGTTGGACAGTTTACGGAAAACGTTCCTAAACCTGTAAAGAACGTCTAGTCCGAATTTGTCGGAAAAAAAAGAACAAAAAATTCTGTCGATAATGTATTTAAGGGCTGTATTTATATATATATATATATATATACATCGTGCATAGAGAGACGACAATACGCATAATTTATGTATATAACACACGCGTGTGCATATACGTAGAATAAACATTCCACGTAAACTATTATTTCTCCGTCCCTTCTTTTTTTTTTGTTTGATTAATTTTTTTTTTCGTTTATTTTATTAATTTTTTTTACAATTTACCAGAGAAAGAAAATATAGGAAAAAAAATTAATTGAATTGGTCGTCACCATATCCGACACGAACGCTTCGTTGTTTGTTTGTTTGTTTGTTGATTTTTTTGTTGTTGTCCATTGCTTTATAATAATTTATTCATAATAAATTTACATGGGTATCACTCGCATAAATTGCACGTATCTATATTTATATTTCTTTTTAATTTACATTATTTTTCTTTGTATTTTTTTTTTGTTTGTTTGTTTTTTTTGTTTCCATTTATTATTTTACATTACGTACATCAGTTTACAATGTTGTGTTCTGTTCTTTTTTTTTTTTTTAATGGTCGAAGAAATATTTAATCAGTTGAATTTAAAATTATTAGAATACTTTTGACTTTTTTCAAATATACCTAAATTTATTATTTCTTTCTTCTGTACTTTCTTTATCTCTCTCTCTCTCTCTCTCTCTCTCTCTTTCTTCCTCATTTCTTTTTTTTTTTTAAGTGAAAACAAGATTTGTGCGATGCTCGGTACGTTCGGCGAAAAAAGAATTTATGCGTTGCTTTTTATGTAAGAAAAAGAAACAAATGTTTATAAGATAGACCACCCCTCAATGAAGTTAAAAATATTAAAGTTTAACCCTTAAAATTTACCCTAAGTTCCTCGAAAGGAAAAACGAGTATTGGGTTTGCAAAATGTACAAAGTTCAAAAAGGAATTTTATTTCCACCGATTATTATTTTTCACAATTTTCATTTTATTCAATTTTATTCAAACCTTTTTATACGAAACTTTTTTTAGATCATAGAAAAATTACTTTCTTTCAAAAAAATACTTAACCCTCACACAGATGATATAATATACTTAAACGTTCTACATATAAAACAAAAACATATATACATACATACATAGACAAGATTACAGAGTTAATCTTCATTGTTTTTAAATTAAGATGATTCATAGTTTCTTTTTCTTTTTTGAAATTCTTTTTTAACCCTTTCATGACTGAAAACTCATATAAGGGTCATCTATACAAAGGTCCTGACCCACATAAGAGTTCATATATCACACGACGAGACGTACGTATGAACAAACTTATACGTCAAACCATGCCCTAATTGAAAGGGTTAATATGTTAACACCAATCACCTAAATTTTACCGAGCGAATATTGTAAGAAAAAGCGAATAAGGAGATAAAGAGAAAGAGAGATTGATAGATAGACAGAGATAATAACAATTTTCATAAAGTTTTTTTGCAATTGTTTTTTTTTTTTTCAATTACTTCAACGTCAAAAAATTTCTACCAAATCACAAAATTCGTTCGCCGATCTAAAATAAAATTCCGAATTAATAATTCCTGAAATATTGTAATTGTTTTCCTGTTGTCTTCTTTTTTTTTTTTTTAATTAGACGACGAATCAATGAATGAATATAAAATAATATTATTTTATTCGTATGACATTTGTAAAAAGACAAGAAGAAGGTTTGTAGAAAGAGAAGTGAGTTGTACAAAGCAAAGGCTTGCTGATTTAATAGTCAGTTTTGATTATTTTTCTTTTTTTTTTTTTAAATCGCAAAAGATATAATCACTCGAACGTAGCAAATCATCATCATCATCATTAATCATCAACTGTTGACGAATTAATTTTTGGCTTGATTTTGAATAAAGTCTCGTGCGTTTATTTATTGGCATAAGAAGAAGAGGGGGTTAGTTTTTAAAGCAATTTACCAAGCAAATATATATATATATATATATATATGTATATGTAAAATACGTATTTGCTAAAGTATGACGATATTTTTGGTCGAAAAAACGTGTGTAAATTGGTCAACGAACGATCGCGCATATATATTTTATTATTATAATAATTTGGCTCAAAACGTCACTAAAAAACTCGTGGCGCCAAGAAAAAATGTCACTAAATCATTGATTTTTCGTTAAAAGACAAAAATTTTGGAAATTTCAATGTCTGAGATAACTAAACTAATCAAAAATGGATTGTCCAAATTAATTAGGATCATCCTTGCTTTCTTTTATTTCTTTTTTTGTTTTTTTTTCGTATTTTTTTTTTTAATCGGCTAATTCTAAATCATTTTTTTTCATCTTCTCGTTAAAGGACGAGTGTCCACGCTTAATATAAATGTTAACTGCAATATATTACTTTTTTTTCTGGGTTACTTTTTTTTTGGGTTCCAACTAATAGAAGATAAGAAGAAAGATTTTTTTAGAGGGGGGATTGTTCCTTTTTAAATGATTGAATAATTTTTTTCCTTTTTTTTTTCCTACTTGCACATTATAATTAGATCATTCGGAATCGTTCGCGCAATTAATTTCGAATCGAATTCGAAAATAGAAACGTGACATTTTTTTTTTTTAGTTCTATTTCGAATCCTTTTTTTCTATTCTTTTTTTATTTTTTTTTTTTAATGTTAAACTTTAAATGCTTACGTATTCTTAATAAGTATCTAGTTTCACTCCTACTCTCATGGTTTTTGTTCATTCGTTTTGGTATACGCATATTAAGTACGATGACGTTTTTTTTCGAGTGTCATTTTTCGACTGATATGATTAGTATGGTCATAGTTTTCTTTACTTTTTTTTCATTTTCTTTTTCTTTTTTTTTTTTAATATTTATAATCACATATACATATATACTTTTTTTTATATTTATAATATATATATATATATATTCTTTCTTTCGTATTTATATATATATATATATATATATATATATATAGTATTGTTTTTTTTGTATTACTTTTGTATATTTTCACCTTAAATTCTGCTAGTATAAAATTATTAGGAATTTTGCTAAAAGGGGGAGAAAGGGGAAATATATTTTACGTTCGTACGTTTCCTTTAGTCGAGAACAAGTTTACCAAATTTGTTGATCAGTTCATATTATCTAATTTGAATTCTTTTTTTTTTTTATTTTGTCCAACTTTATATTCAAATTCTTTTTATATAACTCTCGTAATTAGACAAAAAATTATAAATCTCACTCGTAATAGAATTATCAACGATCTTCTCGAAATATTCACTTCTTTTTTTACTTTCATTTGAAACTTTTTACTTTCACTTTCACTGTCTCTTTATAAAAAAAAAAAAAAAAAAATTCCAAATTAGATATTTGTCACCGATCGAGACCTTTTCAAATGATTAATAGAATAAACCGCGTGTTTTTAATATTTGTTGGTTGGTTCTTTCTGGTTAGGAATCTCACTTATTTTATTATGTATCATTTGTTTTAAAACGTCACGTTGACCCACCCCTCCCCCTCCCCATTTACGATTGACGAAAAGATCAATCACTTTGCTTGCTACGCGAACGAGTAGGAGAACGACTTGGCTTGTGAGTAGATCAATTTGTTTGATGATGACAGTAGTAGTAGTAAATCGTTCAGAAAAATGTCTTCAATTTATATACATATTGTTATGTTGAACACACATAGAATATTAATTATTTGAATGAAAAGATTTAAAGTTTACTCCTTTCGTCGTAATACTTTCGCCTTTGTTGTTTTATTTTTGTCAATAAATTAAAAAGAAAAAATAGAAAAAATTATCAAACGAATTGAAATAGAAAAATAAATCACAACGATAGATAAAAAGGTAACGCATACGAAAGTATAATATATCACAGTTTGTAAATCGTTAGGGTAGTTAAAAAAAAAACTGTAAGGAAATAATATTACTGCTGCATCATAAGAGTATCATCTACTTGAGGGTGGGGGTTCGTCTAACAATAAATTCTATTTGGATTAAGGATAAACGATGGTAAAAGGCGCAATGCGGTGGTTTTGCACATTTTCCATCGAAATTCCATGCACGATCGTGTTGTATGCATGGGTAGTCAGGGGGTCAGGATTGTAGTGATGAATCAGATGGTTGGGGAGGGGGAGATATCACCGTTTGATGATTACGAAGAAGCACGCTACCGCTCGTTTAAAACGACTTGTACGATTACTAATATATACCTAAATATGTGGGAACGCTAGAGCCATTTGTTTCGCACTACGCCGGATAGTCTGCGTCCCCACATAAGGTTATATCATACTATCGTTCCCTGTATGTGCTGTGGATCTTGCGTTGCTTGAATTTGCGGTGATTGGGGTGATTGCACCATGGGACTTTGAAGATTAGATGGATCGTACAGACCACCTAAGGAACTGCACAGTCCTGTACCCAATGAAGGTCCAAATCCAAGACCCATACTCGGTATTGATGGTAAACCAACATCGAGTATTCCCGTATTACTTGCACCTACACCCCCACCACCCATAGAACCTTCTTCCGGTGGAGTAACTTCCAAACCGATAGATCCGTTGAGCGCTATCTTTATAGGGTTGTGATTGGTGGGATGTGGTAAAGCACCCAATCCGATGTCCTCCAAGCTGCTTTTTCTCCTCGAAACGGTGAGTCCTTGTCTCAAAGAGTTGCTACGTCTCAATAGGATGTCATCGACTACTCTCAAGGAATTCGAACGTCCTCTAAGTGTACCGGCTACTGTAGGACTGTCGGGAAGAGACAAAGAGTTCGATTTTGTTGTACCTAATGGGGGTGGTCTGGCCAAGCCAATGGCCGAACCTCGACGGCTACCACCCGGACAACCACCGGGAAATCCAGCTGCCGAGGCGACCGCTGCGTTCATCTGCGAGACTAATTGTGCCGAGCAAAAGCTGATGTTGCTCTTACGCCTTGAGTTGTGACGCTCGAAGGTCTTCTGCGCCGAAAATGGACTAGGCCTGACCAAATAAACTATGTCACCTTCCTCCAACTTTAAATCGCAGCTAGGGTTGATGATTACGTAGGACAGGCTGTTGCGTTTTTCTGATACGTCGTCGTAATCGGCTACAGGTAGATTCAAGGATTCCATTCGGGAACGCACCAGGTTGGCGATTTCTGCCCTCTCGATTTGTTGAGCGTGATTGTCCCTTGCCTCGTCACCCAGGCTCACCGAATACTAATTTAAAAAGATAAAAAAACGTATGATTATTAATTTGTATTATTATTATTATTATTCTTTTTATGTATTAGGGGGACTGGAAAGTTAGATTGTTAATATTTCGTTATTATTTATCAACATAATTGTATAACTTCAAAGTGTTTGAATGTAATGTAAAAATTACTTTCCGGTTCCCATAATATTTTAAAAGAAGATAATTAAAAAATAAGTGATCCGTGCTAGAAATACTTCGACCGGTAACCGACATTGCCCTTTCTGTTTCATCGATTACCGTTCCTAATCTTATTATCAATGTTATATAAAACAAACTTTATTCATTTTGCAGGTTAAATTCGTTTTAAGCGATTGTTCGTGCATACAATCCCCATTTTATGTGCACCATTTAAATAATACGAGACAGACAGACAAACAGACAGGCAGACAGAGCGACAAAGTGTGACAAAGAGCTGTAGTACAAGGACAAATTAATTAAAATACGACAAATAATAATAATAATAATAATAATAATAATAATAATAATAATAATAATAATAATAATAATTAGAATAAAAATATAACAAGGTAATAGAGATAAATTACATTATGCATAGAGTTTTACAGTTTGAGTGTAAAAAGAGTGAGAGATAGAGATAGAGTGCAACAAAAAAAAAAGAAATTAGAGAAAAATTTCAAACGATGATCGTAAATTTTTTTAATAGACCAAAATTGTCAGTTTTTTTTTTTTTTTTTTTTTTTTAAGGAACAAAGAACAACGAACAGGCAATTTTCTCTCGACACACTGTACTCACAGCTGAGGTACCCTTGTCACGGGTTGAACAATTTGCAAGGCACGATGCAGCCGCCGAATGACGCACCTTGTACGTCACGCCGACGCCGGCGTCGCTCTCTGCGTCTGAGTCGCCCTGTCAAAATGACAAGCAACAAGAACTACTACTCATTTTACTGAACCAAATGATATGCAATCGTTAACATTTTTTTTTTTTTCGTAATATTCTCATCACAACCCTCATTCGAGCCCGTTCAACTCTATATTTCTGCCTTGGTTGTGAGTCTTTTTTGAAGTGAAAATTTTTTTACCATGGGGGGATGATTTGAAAAACAGATGCGACGAAAAAGCGACAAGTAGCGATAAATAAAACAAACAAACTCGATGAAACGAAAAGAACGACTATGTTGGTAAGAAGAGAGAAAGAGGCAAACATATATTGATATATAGGATTTAGCTTAGGAGAGAATGAAATAGAATTTGTATTAATTATAAGATTAAAGTTAATTTTTTATCATTATTTTTAAAAACATTACATCTGTAAGAATGCAACTCTCCAGGCACACTTTGAAAATGTTGCTTGCGAGCGCCACCTGTTGGAATTCAAATTTTTTTCAACTCAAACTATTTATACATGCGTGTATTACGGGTTGCCTATCTTTTAAGCAGAAAAAAAATTCTGTCCGAACAGATGTCGCTCGCAAGCAACATTTTCAAAGTGTGTCTGAAGGGTTGCATCTTTACAGGCGCGAATTTTTCTAATTATTTAAATAAATAATTAGAAAAAAATAATATTATAATAATATTATTTAATAAATTATTTTATTCCTGATACTATACACTTGGCTCATTCTTTCGAAACTTGCTTTTTTTTTGAAGGTTTCACTTCCGACTTGTTGTTTCACTTCTTCTAATTGTTTACGTATTATTTGATCATTAGATTAATTATTAATTTTTAATCCTTATAATAAATTTATTTAAATTTAAATTTAATAATTATATACTATTATATATTTTTATTTATTTGTTAAATTTAATATGTTATAGTTCGTGTAAAGATAAAACTACTATAAAATATGACATCTTTGTTTTATTGATCGTATACCTCTATCTTGATTAACGATCTATCCACGTTTTTTCTTTTTTTTATAATCTTCAAAGCTTTACAACTACATCGAGACTGCCGTAGTTCGACGTTATCCGTTCCGCTAATATCTCAATGCAGAAAAACTAAACAATATATATATATATATATATATCGACAGAATAAAGCACACTAAATAATCATACTAGTTTCTATAACACGATGCAGGATTTTTCGTTGATAATAAAAATAATAATAATAATTATTATAATAAAAAATAAAAAAAATAAAAAATAAGGTTGGACAAATCGGAGGACGTGCTTCGAATCAAGATGCGAGGTTACAATCGCATTATAGTTTAACTATTGTCATTTTTTCCATCATATTCTTAACTTTTGATTTCTATTTTCGAAAAATTGCATAAAATAAGATAGGGTTAAATAGAATCGGGATTCAATCGGGAGAACGAGATATATATATAGTGAAAGAGAGAGAGAGAGAGAGAGAGAGAGAGAGAGAGAGATAAAGAGAACGATAGATCACGATCATGCTTTACTCACAGCTGCCATTTAACAAATTTTCACTCATGTTATTCGAATGGTTTACGAATACCATCGAACATACTAATATATAAATTCTATCTTACTTTTCTATCCTAATGGGATAAAAAACCAAATGATTTTGTTTGTACTCACGTGCGAAGTATCCGATACGGTTGTGTCCTGAGTTCTGTAAATTCCAATAGGAATTTCACAAGTTGTAGAACAAAGTTTTTGATAAAGTCTTCCATAGGTTCGTATCCACATATCGTCCTTTGTTATTCTCATCTGTTAAAAAAATGTTTAATAAGTTGAATCGAATTTTTAATTGATGTTGTTTGTCTCGATGATGTTTTATTTAACCCTTTCGTTATCGTATTTCGTATTATTTATATAATTATATATTGTTGTAAGTAGAATTAATTCAATACGATTTATTAAAATTTAAAAGATACTCTAAAATTAAATTATAAAATCTTCTTGCATTCTTAGCAATGATAAGATTCTCTTCTCACATATGTCGATTATAGTCATCGTTCATAATGAAAGTGTTAATCGAGAAAATCGATTTAACAATATAACAATTCTGTTGATACTAACCGACGTGAGAAATCCAGATCCAGGTGCTTGATCAACTCCGAGTAACAATCTTACAAAGGTTATTACATAATCCTTGACAAAAGCTTGATACAACAGTGTGTCGAGCATGGATGCACTGAATACGCTGCCAGCGGCAAATGGTAATCGAAACATGTACGATATGTGGGATCCTCTCTCCTTTTCTCTCTGTTTATAAAATACATATATATACATATATATAAATACCATGATTTGTTTTTTTTTCTTTTGATTTTTTTTTTCGTAATTACAAATAACTTTCAACAATTGATCGATAACTTCTTTTTTCATCCATTTTTTACTCTCTACGGACCACACATCAAATTTTCTATTAAAAAAACTATAAAATATATTCATGTTTCTTCTTTCTTTCCCCACGTGCATATTCGTTTTTTCATACATTTTTTTTTAAACAAATAATATTATAATCGTAGACTATAGTTGAAAGATAAAAAAATCATTTAATATCCCGTAGAATTAAATTCACGTTAAGCGTATACTACGTTAAATTTTAAAACAATAAATATACATAAATAATAATAATAATAAACTTATTAATTAGAAACGTGTGAGTATTAACACACGTTTTGATAGTGTAAAATTTTGTACACTCGATCAAAATACAATCGGTGTATAGTTTTCTTACTAAAATCTTCGTAATATTATAATAAATAATAAATATTATAGAATAATATGACACACACATATATTTGATGCAATGTATCATGCTTTTTATATCTACTAAGTTTTTACGGAAGTATATTAGAAGAAGTATAAATATATCACTTGCTAGGGAAAAACTACTAAGCGTTCTAGTGATCTCGAGGCACTAATCATGTTAATTTAAGTTAATTTAAATTAATAGTTTTTTTGTTCAATGATTAATTGTTTTCCTTCTATTTTTATTTTTGCTTCTTTCTTTTTTTTTGAAAAAATCTGACCTTCGTGACTAGTGCGTTAAGACCTTAACAATTAAATTATGCTTTCTAAATATAATTATCTAGCAAAATAACTATCTATCAGCGATGCTCTAGCACTGCCAATGTCAAAAAATAAAAATTTTCTTAGCACGTTCTCATCGTTTTCGTTTGAACATTATCGAAATTTAAATTTTATTCTAGATTTTTTTCTTACTTTCCTTTTTTTTTTGTAACTTTGTCCTTTTTAGAAAAAAGAAAAAAATACAATTTCTGCGTGAAATATGAACAAAACAAAATATTAAATAAAAATAAAATAGGTCAGGAAAATATTTTATGCGAAAGTGCAGGATTTTTAAAACAGAAACACTTTGCGTAAAAACACCATTTTTCCTTTCTTAGAACGAAGCTAATTACATTTTTAATTATGTTTGTTTTTTCTTAAAATCTGTCACGTCGCCCATAGACGATTTTATATTTTTATCCGAAGTGTTTAAAAATAGAAATGTTCTTCCTTTCTTTTCGTTACGATAATGAAAAACGTACTACGCGTATTAAAGTCGATTTATTTTTTAAACGAGTAATTAAAATTGTCACACAGGTTAATAGTTCAAACATTTTAATTATAAACCTTGTAATAGCTTAATGTACAAAACAAAAATTTGAAAATTTTAATTAGAAGAATAACTCTTTACTTTTTCTATTTTTTTCTTTTTCTGTACGAGAACGATGAGTACGAGGTGTGTAATGATCAGTGATAAAAAATAGGATATATATCTTTAACAATCAATGGATCGGTCAATCCAACAATAATTCAATCAATTATCAATCAGAGGTCAGAGAGTGAGTGATATCGTGTTACCGGAGAGCCCATCGGAGGCTCATTGTGGTAGTTGTCACCGGAACTAGCACTGAGGAGTACCTTTTCCATTTTGCTGAGATGAAGAGCATATTTGTCATGTGCCCTAAACTGCATGAAACGCATGTTGCTCGATTGGGACAATTCTGTTATGCTCTTTATGCTTGGAAAGAATCTGAAACCAAAAACAATCAAAAGAAAACGTTTATTATAAAACATACTTCTTTTTCTTTAGAATGGGGGTGATTTGAAAAAGAAATATTGCAATCTTTAAAAATTTACTTTTCATATAATGAATATTATTTTAAACATATGCATAAATAATTATAAAATTAAACTTAAATTTTTGTTATTATTTATAAAAAAACTGCGCCTATTTGAATGCAACTCTTCAGACACATTTCGAAAATGTTGCTTGTGAGCGACATCTGTTGGGACGGAAATTTTTTTCAGCTCTAACTATTTATACACGCATGTATTACGGATTGCCTATCTTTTAGGTAGAAAAAATTCTGTCCCAACAGATGTCATTCTCAAGCAACATTTTCAAAGTGTGTCTGTAGGGTTGCATATCTACAGGCAAACATTTTTTTAATTATTTAAATAAATAATTATAGAATAATATTATATAATTTCCAAACTTTCTTTTTTTAAACTTTGTTGTTTCTTTCATTGAATGAAAATAATATTATAATAAAAATACCGACTTGAACATCGTTTGAACCGCAACGATGGTATTGCAATCGGCTAATGTATCTTCTTCAGCAGAATTGCTTAATTCTTTGTTGACTACGACGACATTTTCCGCTAATGTGATGCCAGCACGAAGTAAATCGTCCAAACAATCGATTGAACCCAACATCCAATAGACCAATGGGAAATACGATACAGCATCCAAGAAAGCTATTTCCGGTCTTCTTTCCAACAGTAGAATTATCGGATTTAAAGATGTTTTAGATCTATAATACACGTAACACGTAATATTTTGTAATAATGATTTCATTTCAAAGAATTGTTTGGAATTACTGCGAAACATAATTTATAGAACATTCGATGTAAAATAAAATGATTTTACGAGTAAGTAAAATGTTACTTTTGCGATTAAATTGAAAACACGTCAAAACGATTAATCAAATTGTTTTAATGTATACTTTCTAAAGAAAAGTTATATTTTACCTGAAATGAGCTCGTAGAGGAATTATAAAGTTGTAAATTCCATTACTCGCATAATCGGCAGCTAGAATGATCGTTTTGTTCTGCCAATTATATTCCTTAGCGTTTCTATAGGTGCAATGTTCGCAAACCTGTACGAGAATGTGAGTGCATCGAAAAACATTTAATTACTTGTACGAATTTATATATTATGTGTTTTATTTCAACAAATAATTACGATGATATTTATAATATTATTCCACGTAAATGAAATCATTTGTAATTATTTGTATAATTTCTAATGTTGAAATAGAATTAAATGAATTTAGTGAGAATAATATTAATAATAATGATACCTGAGCTAATTGAAGACAGCAAAGGGGTTTTTTTTCTTTCAAAAGGTAACACAATGTAGGTGAAACTCCGATAAAAGGTGATACAGGTGGAAAACCTTTGACTATCCTGTAACAATTATCGATGATCGATTAAATTTCTTTTTCGATTTTACTTTTAATGTGAAAATGTCGTGTTTTCTTAATCTTTACGTTCTCGTAAAGAAAATGTTCAACGTTGACGACGATAATTTTGTGATAGACGTCTCACGAGAATAAAAAGTTCACATATGTTAAAACAAAATCATCGTATCTTCAATATTCTCGACAATTTTCAATTATTTTTATCAAATAAAAAAAAAAAAACCTTTGTTAGTTAGAGTTGAGCATAAATTTATTATTTCTGTAATAAAAACTATTACTATTATATAAGTATAAGTATTAACCAAAATTATTTAGTTAATACTTTCGTGTATTTAAGGGCACTAAAGTGCATTCTAAAAAAGAAATTTATAAAAAAAGCAAAGAAGGTAATAATAATTAGAATTTTTAAAAAAAGATGCATTGAAAGATTGGAAAAAGCCAAATATAATTAAACCTTATCGGTCATAAATCACGTGGGAAGTTACTTACAAATAAAAATATTTTTTTAATAATTGATATATGCAATAATTAATGATTTTTTATATTTATAATATTCTTCAAAATATAAATAAATCATTTCTAATAAATAATAAATTATTCTTATAACATTCACCAATTTTTGTTGCCTATTTGTTTCTTTTTTAATTAATTCAAATCATTAATATAAAAACCTGACGACCGATAAGGATTAAGGTAAACACGTGTAAAGGTTTTTAATCATCTATGATCTAAATTAAAAATATATATAATAACATTCAATAATTTATATATATATATATAAATTCGTCAAAAAATGAATTAACAAAAACATATGAGTATATGAAGGAAAATAAAATAAAACTATAAACTCACCCTTTAAATCTGTAGTCAAACGTAGTAAGAAGTAGAAGTGGAAGTAGAAGAAGAAGAAGTCGTGCGGCAAGATAGACGCAGTGTGCACAAAGATGATGCAGGAAAGAAGACAGCAAAAATATCCACGAGGATTTTTATAGGGTGTCAGGCAGGACAGCGCATCGAACAGCATATACGACGGGCACATGCTCGGTGTGCCGTGAATTGGAACAGGTATTTGAGATACATACATTGAAAAACATGACAGAGAACACATCGAACCGATCTAACGTGAAAACTTACATAATTATATAATTATGAATTTTCATAGCTAATCTATAGAATATTTATCTTTTATCTTAACATTTTGACTACCATCTTTGATCACATATGATAGAGTGTGGATTTTTTTGTGAGACCATGGTGGTCATTAGTTATTTGGATAGTTTGAAAACTTTAAAATTATATATTTCATTCATATAATAATATATTTAATATATATTTTATATTTAATATTAAATTATTTATTGTATTATTATATTTAATATTATTAATAATATATTTATATAATAATATATTTAATTGTATTTAATTTAGTTTTTTATTGCAATAAAAAACATACTACTACAGTGAATATCCTAATTGACATATGTGATTTCTGAGTGGTAGTCAAAATGTTAACCCTTTGACTATGGCAAACATTGAGATGCACCGACGTAGGAATTCGAGAATGCATTTTCTTTCAAACATATTTCACACAAAAAAAAATAAAAAAAACTCAATTTTTATTTACAATAAAACAATGATAGTTAATTCTTTATATTTTAAACCGAATTTCTACTATGAATTTTAACAATTTTAATGAGAAACAACCTATAGGCACGTTTAGTGTCAAATGCATAATTTCTAAGCGCCTATAGGCGCCCCCACAATAACCTAAAGGTAAACACTAATATATTTAAATCTTGATGATTCAAAAAAATAAATATACGTATATGTATTGATTCATGCTAATAAAACTAACAATCAATGTGAGGAGGGTGTAACGCAAAATTCAAAGTGCAGAAAATGAGAATAGAAAAAAAAAAAAGTAAAATGTGCTAGAAAAATTGACGATTAATAATACTTGCATTAATTATTTTGATTATATTTCATTTTGTAAATGGACACAACGGATACGATGTCCATGATAATACGATTATATTATCAAGTTAAGAGAAAGTGAGAGAGTACGAGAGAGAGTGAGAGAGAAAATTTTCACGACGTTTTGTGAGCAATCTCATCGTTAAACGTATTGCTCGTTTTTTTTTTTTCCTTACGATCGTATAATCCTTATATCTTAAGAGTTTTTTACTTAAGCTGCACTTTACGCGGTTCGATACGCGCGATAAAACGTGAAGATAAATATATTATGTGAAAAAGAGAAAGATAGATTGAGTGAAAGAGTGAGAAAAAGAGAGAGAGCGAGAGAGTGAAGATTTTTCTATAAGAAAATAAAAATATGAAAAAAAATATATATAAGTATATACATTAGGGTGAGTCAAAAAAATCAATTATTTTTTTTTTTACAAGTGCCACGAAAAAATGGGTTGCTAGACACCTTAAAACAATTCTCACCAAATATGAGCTCTTAATTTTAATAGGAAGATCCTCCACATCGCAGTTTTTTTTTTTTTCAATCCAATTGATTAAAATTCATTCCTCATTATTTATTGATTGTACAGAAAAATGTTCTAAAAGAATTTTGTAGGAAATTTAATGCTTTACAAAAAAGGTATCATATATTTTTTTCGTAAACCTCACCATTTGAATGATATTGAAGATTTAAGTTTGATTATTTTTAGACAAATTTCATTTTTGTTTATGAATTTTATAACTAACCACCGATTACATCCGGTCGTGAAAAATTGGCATGGGAGACGTTGATTGGCTTCTTTTCTCGTAAAATCGAAAAATCTCAAAATCTGCATTGCGTAAAATAATAAAAATCCTATTTCTCATGACACAAACGTGGTGCCAATTTTTCACGACCGGATGTAATCGGTGGTCAGACGCGGTGCTACCAAATTTTTTTGTTTGCCCTTTGGTTTTTAATCGAAAGTTAGAACATCGATAACAAATTTAGCAACGTCGCGTCGTAATCGTTGATGCTTGAGATTTTTCGATTTTACGAGAAAGAAAGCTAATCAACGTCTCCCATGCCAATTTTTCACGACCGAATGTAATCGGTGGTTAGTTATAAAATTCATAAACAACAATGAAATTTGTCTTAAAATAATCAAACTTAAATCTTCAATATCATTCAAATGGTGAGGTTTACGGAAAAAATATAAGATACCTTTTTTGTAAAGCATTAAATTTCCTACAAAATTCTTTTAGAACATTTTTCTGTACAATCAATTAATGATGAGGTATGAATTTTAATCTATTGGATTGAAAAAAAAAAATAAAAAACTGCGATGCGGAGGATCTTCCTATTAAAATTAAGAGCTCATATTTGGTGAGAATTGTTTTAAGGTGTCTAGCAACCCATTTTTCCGTGGCACTTGTAAAAAAAAAAATTGATTTTTTTGACCCACCCTAATATACATACATACATATATGCATATATGCATATATTTATGTATAATAAGCAAGTATAGATAAAAGTATATATTATTTAAATTAATTTATATATATGTATATTTACATATATATTTATTATTTATATATTATATATAATATTAATATTATAATTATAATACACAAACTATATAATTAATAATTACATATATTAATAAATAAATATATATATTTAATGCACAAAAATTTGTGTGTGCCATGCAAATGCACAGTGCAAGAATAATCATATTTTTTTATAAAAAGATATAAATTTAGTTTTGCAAAGATCAAAAAAATGTGACGTAAGTGGTATAAATTATATTTTCTAAGTTTAATCTAACGTTAACACATATTAGGGATTTACTTTTTTAAATATCGTTCGACGTTTCACAAATTTAAATCAAATTACCTTACATTAAATACAACTGCATATTAAAATCAAATCTTAAGTATACTTTTATTTTTTTAAATCTATTTTTTCAATAGAAACAATTCTAATTAAATTTTTCAACGTCAAACGAGATCGTTCATAGTTTTTTTTTATAATTTTTATTTTCGTTGTTGTTTATTTGTTTATTTCGATTCTATACCTTGATTCCTGGAACCCTCGGGTGTAGTTCAATAAATGAAATAAAAGATGCAGGAAAGATAGAAGATAGATAGAAGAAAAATAAATAAATAAAAAGAAAGATATGTAAAAAAATGTAATGGAAACAAAAAAAAATAATGATAATATAATAATACTCACGCTATTTTTTCACTAGGCGATCTCCATGGAACGTCATCGTCCATTTCGTCTTCCGATTCGTCACCTTCGTGATCCAAGGATTCTTGTCCTGGTAGATGTAAAGTTGAACTCGTTAACATGTCAGGTACAGGAAGGATACTCGGTCTTCTGCTTCCTGAAAATTCAAATTTAACGAATCTAATTATTTTAACAATTATTATAAATTATTATTATTATTATTACTATAGAATTATTTATAGGATACTAGTATAGATACGAATTCAATTTTTTCTCATTAAAAAAAAAAAGGATTTCCTAACGAAAAGGTTTTTTTAATTGGTTTCATTATTTTCTTTCAATTATACCTCTTCTCTGTGTGAGAATTTCTGGACTGAGAAGATTTGGATTAGGATCGATAGAACGTGGTACATCCAAATGATTTCCTGTAATTGGTGTTTGAGGTGTAGAACTTGCTTCTTTTAAATATTGTCTCGAATCACCCAACCCTCCAGGATCGAGATAATTTGCTACAACATTACAAATCAACGATAGTGAGCTCAATTTAAAATTACATTTTTTATATATCCTTTCATAATTCTTATATGTGCGATTATGTGATCATCAAAAATTTTATTATTTAATTTAATTAAGAGAGAAGTGATATAGATATATAATATGTGTGCTGAACTTTTATAAATTTATTAAAGAATATTCAATTAAAAATAATCAAAATATTACATTTATATAAATAGATATTTTTGATTTGTAAAATTTTATTGTAAAAATTAGTTTCGTTATAATAATATATTTATTATAATTTAATATTATATTATATAAATTATATTTTTTATATAAATTAATTATATAAATAATTATTATTAATATTATAATATATAAATTATATATATTAAATTATATAAAAATAATAATTTTTTTATATAATATAATTTATGTAATATAATATTATATTATATAAATATTAATTATTTATTATATTGTAATAAATATATTATTAATATATATATATTATTTATATTAGAGTTTGTATATATATAATTATATAATATATTATATTTTATATAGACATATCAATCTATACTTTTCCCTCTTCTTATTACGCGTTATTAAACAATTAATTATTTATTTTGTTTTTAATTTTTCCACGCTTAAAGCACATCGTGTAATTTGTGTAAAGTTTTATTGTTTTAAAAGCAACAAGATACATTTAAAATATACAAGCTGTGTGTATTATTGGAAATAATAAATAATACAACATTAAGGATTAATATACTTGACACAGAACAAAATGATAATCACGAGAAACAATTACTTATATCTTATCAATAAATTTTTCATTTATAAAATAATAAAAATTCGAGAATAAAAAAAGTATTATCTCTGACAGAAAATATTCTTCAATTATTTATGATTAATAAACAAAGTTCATCATACGATTTAAATAAAGTTTCGTGTTAATTGTCAGAAATATGAAAATAGGCATTAAAAACTTTTAAAACATTTTTTCTTTCTCTTTGTAAAATCGTTCGAATAACTTTAACGATCCTCGGTAAGTGTTTTAATCGTTTCTTTCCGTGTTAAAGTGTTCGCATATAAAACGTGCATCAAAAAACTGGCTGCTAAGTTGCAGCAACTGGCGTTAGCTAAAGGTATCATGCACAAGGTACAAATTACAAAGTATAAAACTATCGGTAGATATATCCTACTGACGTAATTACGCGTAATTGCCACGTAGCCTAATCGCAACGATAAAAAAAAACAACTTTTTGCGTATTTCTAAAGGAAATATTAAATTCTTTTTTTTCCACAAGCTTTATACTTTACATATTTTCTAGTATTTCTTTTTTGTTTTTTGACACCAATTTTGTTCTCTTTTCCCATCCCTCATTCTAATTTGCACACCGTCTCAAACCTAATTTAAAAAAAAATACTAAAAGCTTCTAAAACTTACGGGACAACGTGCCAGCGAAAGAAGAAGAAGAGCATGCATTAAAAAAGTATAAAAAAAAGAAAGGGAGACAGGGGTGGAAGTGGGGGTGGAAGTTGTTAGATATGAGATTATAGAGCACTTATGTTCTAATATTGGAAAGCCCAGTTCCACGATATACATCCCAAGGCTATCATTGAAAAATTTGCGTTGTCGTCGCACGATGAAAATGAACGAGGTTATCGAATAAACTTTTTCGATAATCAACTACACTTAATATTTATAATTTTATAATACAAAATTACGATTTGACAAGATTACACAATTTTTTTGTTTGTTAACATATCTTCGTTTGAATTTATTATTAAGATTTTTCACGTGAATAATTTAAAATTATTATTATTACTAATAATAGGACCATTCTATTAAATAAGAAACATAAATTACTCCCATTTAACTAATTTCAATTTTGCATAAATTTTACCTAAATATCCATTGGCGTGAATCGTAAGAAAAAAATTAAGAATAGTGAGAGAAATATAAAAGTAAAATAAATTAAAGTAAATAAGTTAAAAAAAGAAAGAAAGAAAGAAAGAAAAAAGAAATAGGCGCATGCAACACTCACGGTGGACATCGGATGCGAGTAGGTTGTGGTGTTGGTGTGGTGTGGGCGTGCTAGGGAGGACCTGCAAAATAACCTGTGGCGGTAACGGGGCCCTAGGAGTATTGGCAGGTGTGGTACCGTTCGTGGTACGAGCCTGCTGTCCTCGGGGCCCCGTGCAGGTATCCTGCCTTGAGGATGTTTCGCTGAGAGCAACGTTACAACTGTTGGAAAATGTCCGGTGCTGTTCAGCAGCACCGTGGCTCATTGCAGTACCATTGCCACCACTTCCAATTCCACCTCCACTTCCACCACCACCAGGTGAACCACCGGTTCCAGGTATACTGCAACTTATCGAGAGGGTTGTTGTGGTTGTTGCAGTGGTGGTTGTTGTCGTGGCTGCTGTACTCGAAGATGTCATTGTCGTAGTGATGCTCGTTGTAGTTGTGTTGGTATTTGTCGTAGTCGAACCACTACCTGTCGTGCTACCAGAATTCACCGCGTCTGTTTTCGTCTCTACGACTACCTGTGTAGGTTCAGCTGCACTTTGATGATTTGCCACAACAAAGGCTGAATTTTCTTCCTTTGTAATACTCATGTAATAACACGTATCAGTTTTTTTCATTATGTGCCTTGGACCTGTCAATTAAAACACGGTAAAGCTTGTTTCATTATTTTATTATTATTATTATTCTGTTATTTAGTAGAACGAGTTTTTGTTAAAGAAAGGTAGATAAAGATAGAGATATATAAATCGTATTGAAGAAGTATAGTACTCAAGGGAGACGTCCTACCGGGATTGAGTAGAATAGTGTCTTCGTAAAATTCGGGAAGTTCGGCCGGTCTGACTGCAACCAAGGCAACGCCGTATTTCCGGTGGCTGTGAAAGGACGCGTAGGTGAAGGACTTGCCCTCGTATTCCCCAAAGAATCGTGAATCTCCTAGGATTATATGGTAAATCTCGTTGCCGGAACATTTGCCATAGAGCCTGTGCCATTCCTCTTGTGACTGTTGTCCCTCCCTAAAATTACAAGGGGGAAGGATGCAATTGGAGTATCTCGTAAAAGGATAATCCTGACAACGATTTTGCTAAAGTCTGCATTTTCTACAAAAGTGTCATGGGGAATACAATGTACAGTCATTTTATTTTACTCTCGTAACTTAGGAAGAGACAAGTTTGATGATTAAATTTCTTACTTTGCGAATCAAAAAATAAAAAAAAAATAAAAAGAAAACATGAAAACAACTTACTGTCCTCTCGATGTATGCAACAGTAGGGTTACCAAGGTCGATGCACCGGGACAAGTACAATTATTCGCTAAAAGGGCGTATTTGAATTCATCTTCGCAAACAACGTGTTCCGCAAATTTCACGTGAAGTTTATTCTCCGGACGGAAGATCTGAACGTATTGTGGAACATTTGGTGCAAAATCCTTAACTGCCCACGACCTGTATGCAATGTTAAACAAAATATTTATTTTATTATTATATATGCGTTTGTTAAAAGTTCCTCAGTATGTAAACTATCACGCGTTTATAATTATAATATTTATAATAAATAATCACGCATCAATATAAATGCAAATAATTTAATGTTGGTTTGTCTTCTTATTATTAAAATTATAAAAGGAAGAAAAAACTTGAGTTATTAAATATAATTTATTATTTTAGATTTGGTTAAAATAATATAACTAATAATAAACTATTATGTACCTTACAAAACATTTTAACGAAAAGTATTCAACATTCAAAGGGTTAAATAATTATAGTATCGATCGATATTCAATTAAATAAAATTCGAGATAATATTTTATTATTAAAATGTTATTAAATATATAAAATATAATTTTGTTATAAATAATCGATATCATTTATTCGCTACAGTCAACGTGTTTAAATTGGATGTAAATGTATGATTTGCAAAAAAAAGATTGTAAAGCAATCCACCCCTCCCCATATAACGAAAATATTCTTGCGGGGAGTTAGAACAGGGTTTTATTGATCGTCTTAACTCTAGTTGCGGATAATTCCATTTGAAACATCCATCCATTTAACTAGTTGGCCCATAACGAACGAAAATGATGAAGTTGCGAATATCAATCGATATAATGGCAGGCACACGACAAGCTACCAACTGCGGTAAATAGTCGACCTTAGTATCGTGTGCTCGTCGGCAGCCGTTTTGTCAGCGTAATTTCTCGCAGCAAGGACGAAACAAGCTTCCGCCTCGTTCATCCTGGCACGGGCTAGGTCACCGTCTTTCAAACAGGATCCTTGAATATAAATCACTCTTTGTGCCCATATAGGCACTTGCAGGATCATTCTCATCGTCGTGTCGAGTTCCATAGGTGATAACAGGACGACGTAATAATCCTAAACACGTTTTACTTTAATAGATTTAACTAGTGGCTAGAGATCTACGATAGATCCGATTTCACGTTTGGTGTTGTTTCACCAGTTTTACATTTCAAACAACAATTTTGATTAGAATTGTTCTTTTTAACTCTTTGGGGCACAGTGAGGGATATTTTTAAATATTGCAAGTAGCTGCATGTTCATAATAAATTTATATTTCATCTTATTTACGTAAAATACATATTTTCAATAAATGTTACAAATATAATTAACTTATTAATACCTCTATTAATAAGAATATACCAATTTTGTTTCATTTAAAATTCAATATGTGGGATATTTTTAAATATTGCAATAATTGCATGTTCATAAAATTTCACCTTATTTACATAAAACACTACGTATAATTAAAGTATTACTTATGTTTTTTTTGTTATATACCAATTTTATTTCATTTAAAAATTCAATAAAATTTTTATGCAACACAGGACTATTTTATTACCCAAAATTTTGTACCACAAAGAGTTAAATAAACTAAAACAAGAATTCTAGTATTTCTAGGAACAATTTTTGATAATTTTAAACTATAATTTAAGAATACTATGCTTGCTGACCTGCAGCAATGGATGAGCGTAGAATTCATTTAGAAAATCCATGATCGTATCGGCGTGTAGTGTTGTACTGCAAACAACTACGTGTTTTTCGCTTTGAGCTCTGTGCGACGAATAGGAGCCACCCAACTTTTGTCTTTCCATCCAGGTAAAAGCCAACTGTTCGAACTAGGGGATGATAGGACAAAAATAGAAAAAAAGAAAAACAAACTGCGTATAAAATATTGTGTCTAACGCAACTCAACGTCCGATATGAGAGAAATGAACGTACAGGTGAATGAAATTTTTCAAAGGAACGTGTGTGTTAAATTTTTTTTTTCTTCTTTTCATACGAGTATTCCTTTTCGAGCATAGAATAAAAACAAAACTTTTCTCTCTTTCGTTCGTGTTTTTTCAAAAACTATTCTCAAATAAATATTTGATCACCGTGTAAACGTTATCGAAGACCCATCCCATCCCACCCTCACCCTTTCATCCGTTCACGTATAATAAATCCGTTCTCACCCAGGTATGATGAAACATCTGTTGTTTTCGACGACGACGACTACGACTGCGACTACGACGATGACGAAGAGAATCGCAATTTCTCGCGTGTATGTAGATGACAGTCAATTTGACAGTTGAATAGGGCAATATCATAGCTATCATTGTCTCGTCGTTATCAAGGATCGACAGTTGAACCTTCCCCCACTGGTTTCGTGCAAGCTTTAGCCTCCATCATCCGTCACGTTCGTAGACGATTGTCAAATAGTGTACTACGTACCACTCTAACAACCCCTCCCTCATATCCATCCCTCCTATAGCCCCGCCATTTTTAAACAGTTCAATGTCGCTCTCTATTTAATCGGACAGCACTCGTATAGCACTCTTGAAAATTTCGTTCGTTTGGTCGACGTTACACCCGAGCTAACCCCAGGCTACTTTACACCCAAATCCTTCCTACAACCATCCATCCCCGCCCCTATCTCTTTGATCGAGTTAGCACGCGGTATTTTTGATCCTCAACGAACGTCGAGCTTTCATTTCACTTTTCGCTTTTTAACCAAATAAATTCACTACTACTCGTCATGGTCATCGTCGTCGATATATTTGACATTTTCTAATCGAACCTCAACCCTGTTGTGGGGTTAATTTATTTTCGAATCAACGTATAATATGCGAACTAGGATGGTCTTTATCAGGGTTTTTCTTTTGGTTTTTTTTTTAAGTGAAAACTTCTTTTGGAAACGAGATTTTCATTTTTAAAAATTTATTTTTTATATAAGATACTAAATATTATGCTAAAAATATGCTGAACTAATTACTAATATTAATAATTGATAATTTTTGTCATTATTTATAAAAAAAACATTACGCCTATTGGAATGTAACCCTTCAGACACAATTTGAAAATGCTGCTTGCGAGCGTCATCTGATGAAGCGGAATTTCTTTTTGCCCGAAAGACAGGCAACCCATTATACACATATGTATGAACAGCTTGGGCTTGAAAAAAATTCCGTCCCAGTAGATGGCGCTCGCAAGCAGACTTTTAAAAGTGTGTCTGGAGGGTTGCATATCTAAAGGCACGCATTTTTATAATTATTTAAATAAATCAAATAAATAATATTAGAATAATATTATTTAAAAAATTATCCTATTCCTGATATTATGCACACGTCTCATTTTCTCGAAACTTGTTTTTTTTTTTTAAGATTTTACTTCTAACTTATGTGATCTGCACACCTGTTTCTTAGAATGATAAGAGAATTAAAATAAACTAATAATGTTTATACATACCTGAGTTGGTAATACTATGAGTGCCACGCAAATCATGATAACCATATAAAGTTGTGAGGGCCAAATATCGGGCACGAAGTCTCCATAACCTACCGTAGAAAATGTTACCACGACAAAGTACGTACTTTGAAACAGATTTAAGTGCCTATGCCCTGCTCTCTGAAAATGCTGAATTCCGCATACACTGAAACCAATACAACGAGAAACAAAATATAATAAATAAAATAAAAATATATTTTAATATAAATAAAAAAAAAAAAAATCATTTGCAATTGATACGTGCATGGTGTATTCATCGTTAACGAGATATCAATTTGCATTTGGATATTACTTGAAAAACATATGATGCAAAAAAAAAAAACAATCAAAAAAGAAAGAAAAAATGTTTCAACGTTATCGATGATAAAAATTATTTTTTTTTAACCTCTCATTTCAGGAATATATATATATACTTTTTTTTGTCCTGTACAAAGTGGAGTAGAGAAAAAAAGAAAAAAAAAAAACAACCCTCGTCAAAGAGCATAATGACGACTACAAATACTTGATAAATTCTGTAGAAATGGATGGACCGAAGGAAAGGCTGCAGAAAAAAGGTTGAAGACCGTATACAGGGTTTACTAGTAAGGAATATAAGGGCTGCTGGCATTTATAAACGACTGATATCCATTATGCATGCGGCCTCCTTTTTATATCTATATCAAGTATGGATATTTTTTCTATTTTTTTTTTTTCACTTTTTTTCCTTCCCCATTTTACATCCCAGTCTCCCTATTTTTTCCTTTTCTTTTTCTCTCTAACAGAAGCTATTCACTCGTCCAACACACCGGACGACCATTGGCCACGTGTTATAACGAGACTAGCCTTAATGAAACGTGACATTAAATAAAGGATTTTTACATAAGCATTTAAAGAATGCAAAATAGAAAATTCTTTTTACGTTGATAGGGGTTGAAACTTTTTTAACTGATTGAAATATTTCTTTTTTTTCTATTCTACTTCCTTTGGATATTTTTTATATTTGAATTTACTTCGGAATATTTATCTTTTGATTTAACGATGTTTTATTTCCTTTTTTTTATTATAAATAAATCTCAATGTAAGTGAATACAAATAATATCCCATTAAATTTATCATCCGATAATATAATATAATATAACAATTTTGATGGAGATAAAATATTGATGGATACAAAATATATATATATAAAACGAAACGTGAAAAAATGTGAACGGTCAACGAACGTAATTCCGGTATAGTTAAGTGCATTTAAAATGATTATATTATAAAGGTTGTAGAGAGCGTTCAATTGTGCGTCACGTGTCACGGCCACGGTAGAAAAATGGTTTTAAAAAAGTCGTGCGAAGAATTGCTCGTAATAGCTCGTTCAAAAAAAAAAAAAAAAAAAAAATGAAGAAAAAAATATAATAAAAGAACAAAATTTATCTCTCGTTACTTTTATACTAAACGAAATATATTGTCACGCATTTTCTATAAAAAATATTTGTAATTGAAATTGTACACAAAGGGAAGAAAAAAAAAAGAAAAAGAAAATTATTCAAAAGTATTCAACAATATTTTCCCCTATTATTTTAATTATTAAATAATTTATCGAATTGTGTTACCTTTCTGAGAGATCATGGATTTGTGTATTTTAATTTTGTCGATAGAATTAATTTGTTTTTTATGTATTTGTTGAATGAGAAGAACATTTGAGAATATATACATTTCTATTTGGTATTTTATAATCAAAAGTACTTCTCGAGTATTCAAAACGATCAAAAGGGAAAACGTTTGACAAACGTCAAAGAATTGAAAGAAAACGACGAATACCTACGACGAATAAGAGGAAGATAAGCAAACGAAAATCTTAAGAGAGGAATCATTTGTAAAATATTATTTCTAACAATAAATAATACAACAACAACAAAAGTTAAAAAATAGAACATTTAAAATATTGAATCTTAATTTAAACAATTAATTTATTATTCAATGATTTTTAATAAAACCATATACTAATTAATATATTTTATATTTTATTTTATATATTTTATTTTTTATTATTATTTTATTATTATATTAATTTTTTATATTTATATTATTTTATATTTTTATATTTATTTTAATATTATATTAATTTTTTATATTATATAATTAATTATTATATATTTTATATTTTATAGTTTATATTTATATTTATATTTATATTTTATTATGTATAATATGGGTGTTTAATATAATTAAACACCCATATTATAAATATATTCCTATACTTTAATTCGATATTATAATAATTTTGATAATTTTATCTAAGAAATTTGATAATCTTACAAGTTGATAAAAATTTTTGCAATTTGTTGATTAAAACGCACTTAGATTATACAAGGGCAAAACAATTGTGTTCATACATTGATATTATATACGTAGCATCAGAATTACACCATACATAATAAATCCTACACGATCGATGGTGACACCAATCCATCTGCAGAAGCCGCCACGATTACTTATTAACGTATGTCCCACATTACGATTCGATTCGATCAACTCAACTTTATTTCTCTTACCTTTCCTTTAAACCCCTTCTTATACCATCCCCACTTAATTTTATTCCTATCTATAACACTTTCTTCCTTTTTCTTTTATTCTTTTGCAACGAAACTAACGTTAACATTGCACTTGTATGATATAACTTTTAAATGTATCTATGTACATATATATACAGACACATATGTATTCAAGTGATATTGAACATTAGATATGATCGATTAGAAGGATGGTGTCGTCACAAATCTCTAACAACCTATTACTTTTACTGACGCCACGAATATTAGATGAAACTATTCGCCATAGTGTCTGTCTTCCTCCTTCCTCTCTTCTCACCCACACACACTATCATCACATTTATATTTATTCTCGACAAACTATAACGTGTTGTCTCTTACTATTACTTTTCTTTTTCTCCAAACGTGATTTACGGAGTTTACAATGAGTTTTTTTTTCTTTTTTTTTTTTTAATTTAAAATTATGGTTCTTATTCATTTATTAAAGCAAAGGGAGTGGTGGGAGGTAAGACAAATTTTTTAAAATAAATAATAATAAAAATGTAAAATTTATATTGTTTTTTTTTTAACTACAGAGAGACAGATTTAAGTAATTGTGAGAGACATAGAAAAAAAGATAGATAGAAAGATAAATGGGGGAGGGTTTGAGATAGATATAGAAACTAAACTAATCACTTAAAAGCGTGAACATGCGACAAATACAAATGATTACTGATTATTTTAGTAAGAGATTAAATGAAAGGAGAATCCTATCCTCACAAGATGAATTTGTATTCACAAACTTCTAACACGTTCTCTTTCTCTCTCTCTCTCTTTCTCTTTTTCTTTCTCTCTCGGTAGGAAACTTTTCTCATTATACGTATATAACAATAAGTCGTGTATGAAACAAACATAACTTAAATAACGAATGTTAATATCGAGATTCGTTGGATTTCATAGAAAAAACCAATACTATAAATTCATTTTAATCATATTAAACCTCGTCTGGAAACTGCTAACTGTTTATTTTTGTCCTAGAAATGAAATCATAATTTTAAACAATTAGATTTTCTCTAAATTAAAATGAAATTATATTAAAATGAAATAATCAAGAGAAATTCGCATGATTCGAGATATTGGATGTTAGAATTGTAATTCTGATAAAACTACGATGATTATTTTATTTTTGTATGTACTTTTTATTTTATTTTATTTTATTTTATTTTTGTATGTCATTTTTTTTCTCAAGAAAAAATTAGAATTAAAACGAATTAATCAACAAAAATTCGCATGATTCGAGATATTGGATATTAAAATTGTAATTCTGACGAAACCATGATGATTATTTTATTATTTTATTACTTTTTGTTAGTTTTTTTCTCAAGATCCTTAATTTTACAATTTTAGAGGATGTAATCCTTATAAAACCACGATGATTATTTTATTATTTTATTTTATTTTTTTCTCAAGAAGAACTTAGAATTTTCTTTGTAATCAAATTTTATTAGAAAAGGTACATCTTTAAAGGTATAAAATAATACGAAAGTAGTAAAATGATTAAAGAAAAAGGGTGTGGTATCGTCCAAGTCATCTATGGAGAATGGTTGACGAAGAAAATTAGCATGCCACGTGGATAAAAGTGCTGAATAACGTCTACAAACAAATTAAAGTGTTGGCATTTGAAATACGCCCCCAAAGTTGTCGTACTAGCTACCTTTTACTATTTAAATGTTTAAAAATTGTTCTTAGTTATTAAGAAATCTTTGTGGTATAATAATTTGAAAATAATAATGAATTATTTATAATGAAACTGGTAAACGTCCTAGAGTTCGATTTATTTTTGTAATTTTTGCAAGAACTGATGGGAAAGAGAAAAAACATTTCAAGTTTTGTTTTGAAAGAAATTAAACAAGAAAAATGGAAATAAGAATTGTTTATTTCGAAATAAAAAGTTCTGATAAATTTAACATAAATCGAATGGTGTTCTGAAAAAAAAACCTTTTATCGTTTACCGCAATAGTTTCTGTTTTACCATGATAGACATCTTTAGAAAATTCTGATTGCATTTTCGAGTAGTTCAAGCAAAATGCATATGTGTATATGTGTGTGTGTTTGGTCGTTGATGCTTTGTTACTTCTCACAACCTGGGAATTATCGAATATTCTGGAGTATTTTAGTACGAAGGACGTTTATACAATTTTTTTTCTTTCTTTTTCCCCCCTTATAGAATGCACAAACTAAATACTTGTCCAAGAAATTAAATGGTATTCGATGAACGATCAAAAGAAATAATAAAGTATTCGTTCGATTGTTTTTTCTTTTTCTTTCTTTCTTTCTTTCTTTTGCAGATATTTTAAAAGATTTGTACGATTTGATTGAATCTTGATAATATCGATTATAAACATTTATTTCATTTTTAAAGTTAAACAAAAATTATATATATTTTATATATTTTTATATTTATATTTAATTTAATTAATATATATATAATTATATAAATGAAAAATATTAAATATATTTTATTATATAAATTTTATATTATATAAATAATATAAATTTTTTATTCAACGAACAAACAAAAATTAATCTTATTTCTTATCACTTTCTGTATTTAAATAATTAATAAAAAATTTACTTCTTGAGTGTTGTCATGGCATTAAATGAAATGTTAGAACATTAATCATGCTACCAACTTTTATATAATTTGGTTTATGAATTTTCTCTTTTCTTCACACCCCCATACAAAGTTTCTACAATAATTATTTGAGATTCTGTATTATTTATTTTAATATATTCATCAAAATAATATTAATTGTTTATACTATTAATTTTACTGATACTTATTGTGTGGTGTTTCTCATTCGAAATAGAAAATATTTGAATAAAATAAATTGTAATGCTCACCTAGTAAAGACAAGGCACAGTAACGTTGCACTAAGAATCATTAATTGTTGACTCAAGGCTGACTGAGATTTTTGCATAGCTCTGTGTAAATCATTCTGAAATTAAACAAATAATTATTATTATTAATAAAATATTTTTCTTTCAATAAAATTAATTGGATATATCAAAATACTTACAAACATATTCTCCAACGAATGTTTGGCCAACCAACAATTTAAGAATACCGGGATGAACAGATTTCTCATAGGTGGATATAATAACTGAAATCATATTTTAAATATATTAAAATTTTATCAATTTATAATACTATATTATTTAAAAACAATTACAAACGTCGTAATACAATTCCACGTTATTTACTGGAAACTTTGAATGAAATATTCTAATATCTAATATCTAATTAATTAAAATATACAAATAATATATGCAGTGTGTTTTATTTATAGATGAAGAAAATTGATAAATTTAATAAACCTACTTTTCATAATAATTATTTAAATATAAACGCATATATATAATATATATATAATTATATTTATACAAATAATATATGCAGTGTGTGTTATTTATAGATGAAAATATTGATAAATTAAATAAACCTACTTTTCATAATAATTATTTAATTATACACGCATATTTATATTAATATATATATATATATATTATAAGCAATTCTAAAGTATAATGAATCAGGTAGCAGGTACCCATACGGTTAGGAAACGTTGTCGCCGCATAAAGCATGAGGTTAAACTAATTAAATTCAAAAGCACAATAGAGATATCGCACGTAATATTGTTATAATATATATAAAGGTTATTTCTTTAGGGAGATCGATGCAATATTGTGATTTCGTCGCGAATGAGAATGTACAAAAGTTAAGTGTAAGTGTGAAGTGGGTGGTGGGAGATGAATGGTGGGATACATAGATGATTCTAATTCTATTACTAGTTCATAAAAAAAAATATAATATGTCTTACGAATCGATCTTGTCAACTTGATGAGGATATTACAACACTTATTTACTTCTCGTTTAACGCGATTGAGAAGATACAATAGTTAAATGTAAGTGTATGAGTGGGTGGGTGGTAGGATAACATAGATGATTCTAATTCTATTACTAGTTTATAGAAAAGAATATAATATATCTTACGAATCGATCTTGCCAATTTGATGAAGGTATTACAACACCTATTTATTTCTCGTTTAACGCGATTGAGAAGATACAATAGTTAAATGTAAGTGTATGAGTGGGTGGGTGGTGGGATAACATAGATGATTCTAATTCTATTACTAGTTCATAGAAAAAAATATAATATATCTTACGAATCGATCTTGCCAACTTGATGAAGGTATTACAACACCTATTTACTTCTTAGAAACAAAAGAAAAAAAAACTAACATGACTTACCGTAATCGTGAAAGGTATAGTGTTGACTAACTCCAATATGAAGTGGAATGATAGAAGCTGCTGCCAGACGTTACCCTGTGGACATTAGGAAGACAGCTCAACATACCCAGTGACAATTTTATCAATAGGAATCATTAAAGAATCAAAAACGTTCAAACAACATAAGCGCAATTTTTAATTTTATGTCGTCCTGCATTTTCTATATTTGCAATGTTCAGTGTCACTCTCTTCATTTCTTTCCGAATTAATAATAAAAACAATTATTAATTTTAATTTACATAAAAATTCATCGTAAGAAGAAACAAAAAATACACCCACACAAAATCAATTTAAACGAATGCAATTATTGTGCAAGTTGTGTTGTTTCGTTGCATTCTTATTTTCTATCCTCGTCAAACATTTTGTTGCAGTTAAAGTTATTGATTATCCTTTTGAACAAAAATAAAAAAAATTTGTTATGACTTTCGTTTCTAGACAACAGAATGATTGGTGGTGGTGGTGGTGTTTGTTCTACGAAATAGGTATGAATAAATATTACATTTTTTTCACTTGTAAAAACTTTTGGATAATCCCTGAAATTTGAAATAAATTTAGGTTGAAATATTTTCATGGTGATCTAAGTCCATGATTTTATTTTTTTTCCCCCGCAAAATGACGTTTTTATGACGACAGGTAGTTATCTGTTGTTATGGTCACCAATAAAAATTAAAAAAAATATTAAAATGGATTTAGACTATTTTCAAAATTTATTTCTCATTTTTCAAAAGGTAGAATAGAAGCAATATTTTGATTTTATTCTTTTAAAACGAACAAACGCACAGGTGTGAATATTTAAATTTATTCTAGGATTGAGAACAATCTTTTTTCGAACTATGAAAGTTTGTATTTTTTAACTAAACTATAACTTTTTAACCACGCTATATATTTTAATCCGTCAAAGTCAGAATTTGAATAGAATTTTTGATCGATCCTTTCTTTTTTTCTCTCAAGAATTTTCTTTTCCTTTTTCTTTTCTATTCTTTTCTATTCTATTTTATTAAAAACATCGAATAATAACATAGATTTTAATTATTTAAATCTCTCACGTACGAACAAATTTTTGTATAAAATAATATCGCAAACCAATCAACGAAATAAATTGCATTTCGTTGATGTGAATCGTCCTGCCGACAGGACATATTTTTCTTTCATTCATATTATTCAATAAAAAAAAAAAAAAAACAAAAAATAAACAAAATGAAACCAAAAAAACAATGACTTTTCCCTAATGGATTTCTTTTCGTTTTGAAAGATTTAAAATATTGTTCCTGAATGTGTTTTTTTTTTTTTTTATTTCTTTTTCCATCCAATACGTAAACTTTGCCAAAAAAAATTCATATTATAGTTTTCTCCAAAGGGACACATTTTTTATTAAAAAGAAACCTACTAACCCTTTTTTTACGATAGGACAAAATAAATAGGAAATTGATGTATTACATATACATATTTTTTACATATACATATGTAACCCTTATCGTAATTTATAATTATTTTATATTATATATATGGTAAAAACAAAAACAAAGTATTAAAAAATTTATAAAAAATATTTAAATAAAAATATTATTATTATATTAGGTGGAAAAATGGTTCGTTTCTCGATGACAGGGTTGTACTTGAACATTGGTAAAATTTTGATTTATATGCAAGACCCCTCTTTATAGATTTTCAGTTATCCATCGTAAAGCTTTCAGGCTTGCAAGTAAGCTACCTATGCTAGCAAGCAAAAGCTCCTTGTGATCGGGTCGATTCTTTTTCCTATATAGTTCGGTTTAGCTTTTTAAAACGTTCAAGATTCTTCCTTTTCATGTTAGTACAAGAAACAGACAACTATGATGGATTTTTTTACGAAAAGCAAATCTTCCATGTCAGATTTGGAATACTATCGATATGAGATTTATAACTTATATATTTTTGTAATTTATTCAATTTAATAATTTTCTAATTATTATTATTATTAACTATTATAATAATAGTTATATATAATAGTTATTAAATTAAATTAATATAATAGTTATTATACTAACAGTTAATATATAATTATAATGTAATAATAATTATTATGTCTACAAGTAAGTTTCCAGCGTTTTTTCATAAAATTTCATAGTTTATTCTGAAAAAATGGTTACATATTTTTCATTCGAAATATTGTCCATCGAAAGATACAATTTATTCTCATCTTTCTGGCAATTTGTGAATTCAGGACCAAAAAAAGTTCTCGTCTTTTGTATCCAAGAATGTCCAATTTTTGCCAATTTTTGATTCCCTCTACTGAAGTGAAGCGCATTCCGGTAAGAGCGTTCTGCATCGACCGAAACAAGTGATAGTCGGATGGCGCCAAATCTGGACTATAAAGCGGGTAAGGCAGAATTTCCCATCCACTATTATCCAAGTAGTTTTTGACCAAAGCAGCAACATGTGGCCGAGCGTTGTCGTGGTGAAAAATTACGGACTCGTGCCTGGTCTGATATTCTGGCCGCTTTTCCGCCAATGACAGCTTCAAACGAATTAGTTGGGTTCAATACAATGGTCCTTTGATGGTTTGATCACTCGGATGCAGTTCGTAGTATATGACACCCTTCTGATCCCACCATATGCAGTGCATGACCTTATTCATGTGAATATTTCGCTTCGGCGTAGATTTGGCCGGCTCTTCAGGCTTTGCATATGTTTTTTTGCGTTTAAGATTATCATAATAGATCCACTTTTCGTCATCAGTGACAATACGATGCAGAAACGACTTTTTTTTATACCACTACAGCAACATTTCTAACATGCCAAATCGCCGTTCGACTTCTCTCGGCTTCAACTCGTACGGCACCCAGTTTCCAACTTTTTGGATGAATCCCTAAGCTTTCAGGCACAGGGAAATAGCTTGTTGTGTGACGCCCAATGATGCATCAAGCTCTTCATGAATTTGACACGGATCCTCATCTAGCAAAGCCTCCAATTCCTCGTCTTCAAAATTTTTCGACTTTCTGGAGCGCTCCTTGTCTTCAACATCAAAATCACTATTTTTGAACCGTTTGAACCACTCATGACACTTCGATTCACCAATACATTCCGCCCCTTAAGTTGCTAAAAGCAAGCGATAGGCCTCAGCTGCACTTTTCTTCATATTAAAGAATAGAAGCAGCGCTTCCCGCAAGTGACGCTTATTTGGCACAACTTGTCATGTTTTTGCTTCATAAAATATACGACGCCGATAGAAATGCGCAAATATGATAATGCAATGTTGTTTACAGATACACAAGCTTCGAAAATGACACATGAGATGTGACATTTCTGCTCGGAATCTACTCGTGAAACCATCTTATTAAAAAACACTGGAAACTTACTTGTAGATCCTATATATTTACCATTATTATTATTATTCTGATTTATTAATTTTTCTTTTTAAATATTATTTATTTAATTTATTTTACAAATTTTTCGTTTATTACTAAACGTACGTTTTTGTTAACGATAATAAAACCCAAGAAGGAATTAAAAAGGATTATCACGTTTTCCTTTCAAATTTATTTTAATATTTTTGTTAAATATGAAATAAAATCATTTGTGTTGATTAATTAAATACGAGAAAATTGAAATAACGTTTACGTTTGCTTTTTTGCATGATACTGCAAGTTTGTTAAAACGAACTTGGTTAGAAATTATGCTCCAAACTATTCCAACGGTATTAGCTTAAACTTCTAATTTTCTTTTTGAATCGCCTGTTGAAACTTTAACAATAAAAAAATAAAGAAGAAAAGAAAAAAAAACGAAGAAGAAGAAGAAGAAGAAGAAGAAGAAGAAGATGAAGAAGAAGAAGAAGGTAGGAAGATTGAACGAGCTGAATCAGTCTCAGGAGAATGAAAGTTTGCTATGTCTAGTAGTTAGTGCGTTAAGGTAGGATGCTTCAAATCTTCAACTTTACGTAAATCGATGAATTTCATTTAAAACTAACATTCCTTATGCGTGTTCAGAAATAAGAAAGATAAATTAAATAATGCTTGTGAAAAATGAATAAAATAAAAATATCCTCAAAAACAGAAAAAAAAATAAATGAATTTCATTAGATATCCATTGATTAGAAATAAAGTTCATTGACTACTAATTAATAATAATTATTTAATAAATATTTCTTATACTAACAAATTAAATACACTAATAAATTAAATACACCAATAATAATTTTTTAAATATTTCTTATACTAATTAATTAAATACACTAATAATAATTTATAAATATTTCTTGCAGTAATAAATTAAATACACTAATAATAAATTATAAATATTTCTTACATTAATAAATAAAATACACTAATAATAATTTTTTAAATACTTATATATTTCAACAACAATTACTTTATTTAATTAATATAAATATTTGATATACCGATTATTAATAATAATTATTAAAACATCCAATACAAAAAGAAAAACATTTCCTTTGATGCGACGTGTTTCAAGTTGCATCTCATGTTATGGGTTATTTATTACAATAAAATATTCTAACATAGAAAAAAAGGAAATTTGAAATTGGTGTTAGGGACAAGGGACAACTAATTCTTCGAATGAATATCGAGAAATATTTCCAAGACGTTTAATCGTATTATACTGGGTTGCGTCTAACTCGATTAACGAGGTGCAAGTTTCCACTTACAAGACGTAAGCTTACTCGAATTCTCTGAGCAACGAAGGCAAGCAAAATGAGAAACTTAGGGGAATCGTAAGCGACAGGTGGAAATGCGTTTAACGAGAGACACGCGATGGCCCACTAATACATACATAGATATATATACGTAAGAATGTATATACATTGGCAAGATATTTGGATGTTCGGGGAGGATTTATAACTGTAGTTAATCTTCATACCTTTGAAATCATTCGAAAGTTAAAAATTTTAGAATTTTAGATTAGAATCTTTCCTAACATTAAATCTATCATGTCGGTCAAATGACCATCGTATCATGTAATTTTGTAAAAAAAGTTGATAAATAATTATTATATTCAATACTGATAAATAATAATAATTATTATTTAGTAATTTATATTATAAAATAAATTAAAAAAATTAAAAATTATATTATATTAAAATATATATATTATAATGTTAAATTAAATATTAATTAATAAACAAATTAAAAATTATATTGTATTATATATATTATATAAAATAAAATATAATTATATATATGATAAATATGATAAATAATGATAAATATATAATTAAATAAAATTATTATTATTTAAATTATATATATTATTTGATAAATAAAAATTACTATTATATTGAAATTATATTGTGTGAATAATATTTTATAATATTATATTTATATTATATATTATATATAATATTATCCCACACATAACACGAAAGGTTTTGAAATCTTTCAGCGAAAGTTTCGTAAAATATTTCCAAAAATTTTTCAAAAACCTTGCAGGGATCATTCTAAAATATTTTACAAAAGATTCATCAAAGATTTTACAAAAATATTTTAAAAACAATTTAAAAATATTTTACTGATAGATTAATCTTTTGTAAGTCTCTGAACGCGGACATTTTCACCTTGTAGAAAGATTTTTTTAGAAACCTTTTTGAAAGGTTTAAAACTTTTAAAGAAATGTTTTAGAAAGTTTTTAGAAAGTTTATTTATGTTATGTGGGATATTATTTATTACTAAATATACAAAGATTATATTCTTCCCTATCCAATTAAACTAAAATCTCATTTCATATAAAAACATATAACTTTGTTAAACCAATCATTTGATTGATCACGTCAGAAATAGGTATACATAAAGTATCGGTAGGTTTACTGTTCAACCCTTCATAGTGTTGCTTGATTAACAGAAATATAGCTTTGTGGTATTTATGACGCGGACGTTTTCTACGTGTTTTGTTATTTATAAAATTTTTCTTCTTAACATCCACCACCCCATTCTTTTTCCTACCTTTAACCCCCTAGGCTCTGTCTTTCGAATATACAGTTTTCGTATGGAATCGTTTCAGGTAAAGCCTCACGAATCGCAAACGGAATTGTAAGTAGCATCGGAGAAATGAGAACACCGTTATGCTTTCTCTCTCTCTCCCTCTCACACATATTCTCATACATAGGTTCATTCGATTTTCCACCTAACCGCTCCAATTAACTCAACAAACTAACCTACTGATTAAATAGTCAGAAATCACTTCGTTGAATTCAGATTAATCCGTTGGATTCGTATAATTACGATGTAATGAGATTACTGTTTAAAATCTAATCGAATTCGTTCAACCATCATGATTTTACAATAAGGAAATTTTTTAAAACAAAGATTTAATATTCATACGATAAATGATTTCATATTTCAGAAGTTTCAGTTTCAATTTAGGAATAAGTTTATAAATTGATAATCGGTTTAATAAAATATGAGTATTTGATAAACAAAATAATATAATGAGAAACTGCAGAACGACAATATGCCAATTATTATCGTCAAAAAGCGTTAAAGCTTATTCAAATATTCGTGTAAAAAAAATTGAAATATTCCGACGAAAAAAATTAAAATAAAATAATTACAATATAAATATATAATAAAATTATATAGTATATAATTTATTATATATACAGGGTGGGTCACCACATTTTACCATCTAGATTTACGTTATCATTATTACGCGTAGCAGACAATGTTTAACATGGAGTTGAATGGCT